TAAAATCCTCCTAGCAAGTTAAAGTATCTCTCTCTCTCTCTCTCTCTCTCTCTCTCTCTCTCTCTCTCTCTCTCTCTCTCTCTCTCTCTCTCTCTGGTTTTAAACCTATGTAACTGCCTAAGTGAATTAATAATTGAGGTGATTTGTTAGAGTTACTAGCTGCATAATTTGGTACTATTATTCCAGTCTGTTAAAAAAAGGTAAATCTTTAGTTATCCTGGCTCACCTTAAATTACAAACCAACTGAACTATGACAACTTTATTGTTTGATCACTTTTTGTCGTACGTTAAAATTGTCCAAGACAGCCATCCATTGTCAAGGAGAAGAACAGTTTTCCTAGGCAGATGGACATTTTGCTCAGTGTCATTATGATAAATGTATTTAAAATATCTCGCAAGGGGATATGTGAGATGTGGTCATTTGTACAGATGGGTATCTTGGACTAATTGGCCGTTGGAGCAGGTTCAACTGTATTTTATTGGTCTAATCAAACACATGTCTGATTTGTTATCGTTAAGGTGCAGCTCAAGGGCAAGGTGAATCAGCTCCCCGGCCAGCTGTACGCAGAGGTCCAGGAAGGAGGGGTGAACCTGAGTGTGGGACAGAGGCAGCTGGTGTGCCTGGCCCGGGCTATCCTCAAACACAAGCGCATCCTGGTGCTGGATGAGGCCACAGCCAATGTGGACCAAGAGTAAGGTTCTCAGAGGGAGGGGAGGGGGGGAGACTTCAGGGAGTGGTGCTGTGAACTTCTTTGTTACATGGTTATTGTTTTGTGTTCTACAGTCTGTAACGGGTCTAACAATTGTGTTTGTTACTCTCTTGTAACACCTCTAATCTTCGGCACTTATATGACCTTTTTGTGTTGCAAGTGTCGTAAAACACTTACTAAAACTAAACAATTATTTTTTTGTATTAAAAAAAAAAAGAATTGTAGTCCATCACAAGTTCTAATTTTACAGGATCTTGCTCTTAAGGGTCTGAGTGTGGCTGTCTAAACACTTACCCCGCAACATAAATGCTCTGTTATTTTCAAACATAAAGTAGATGTTTCAAAGTTTATACTCAAATTATGGTTTGATTTTTCTTCTACCTGTGATCTCCAGGACAGATGACATAATTCAGCGGACCATACGTGCCAAATTTCGGGAAAGCACCGTTCTGACGATAGCTCACAGGCTTTATACTGTCATGGACTGTGATCGGTTAATGGTGAGTTGTGGCTGATTCTCTTTCCCCCACGATGATGATGCTTTCTTGTACTTCTTTACTGTTGCTTCTTTGTATTGTTAGGTTATTTCAAAGGATTAGACATGACAACATGTATGTGCTTTACAAAAACGTTCATTTTATAAATTAGTTGCTTTGGGCTGATGTCCCTGTAACTTGAATTAGGTTTGAAGGGTTTTAGTGTGTTATATAGTTCCCTTTGTAATTTGCACATGTATGAGGTAATTAAAAAAATGTCCCTCTGTAATTTGAAAAACCAACATTATTTAAAAAAAAGCTTTGCTGTTTGTCCCTTCTGAACCTACCATCAACTTTGAAGACTGAAAGACCTGTAGATATTTTATCCAGACGGCATGGTGCCCTTGTCAGTTTTCTTCAAAGCCAGGCTTTCAGAGAGCTATGTGATGATTGTAGCCGACTGTTCTTTGGGATCCTGTCAAACTTTCGTCTAGTTTGGTAAAAGTTTTACAGTGCTCGCAACTGCATAAGGTCATATCGGGGTGCTGTCAAGCTTTATGGTTTTGAGACTGCAAGTAACGATTTTAGCATTAAGGGTATGCTAAGTTTGTATTCTTTCGAGTATTTATTTTTCTAATGTAGTTCACATGTTATATATATTAAACAATATTTTTAAGTTTTCACTGTTGGTGGATTAAAAAAATTTGTGGCACCAAGCTAGAAATTTATTACATTGGATATAGAATGCTTGTAGAGGTGTGAACAGATGCAAGCAAAGAGGGCTTTCAAATATAAGTAAAAAATGATCTAGCCTATTCTGAAATTGGTCTTTTTTTCATATATTTTCTTTAGGTTTTAGAGAAAGGTGAACTCAAAGAAATGGACACGCCGCACAACCTGCTTCAAGACCCCGATGGTGTGTTCACAAGGCTTGTTCTCAGCACTGGCAAAAGTCAGGCAAAACAGTTACAGGTATTTCCTGGGCCTAACCTCGTTGATATGATGATGGCTTATTTTTCTCTTGACCATGTTTTGTGTTTGAGAAAAAGGCATTTGAGATCTGTGAATTAGCTTTCTCTCAGTTCAGAAAGGTACGAACGATGACATATGAGTTTCAAACAGACTGTGACTTTGTACGTCATTGGGGTACTGGTATGAGATTTGATTTGATTTTTAAAAAAATTTATATGATTTTTATTGAAGACTGGTATGAGAAAATAGTGAACCATCTGGCTAAAGGGGTTCTAGTGAAGCACAGGAGGCCTTCAGTGAGAGGTACTTTTGTTGTTTAGCTCAACTTCACACCAGCTGTGACTTTAACAAGTGGATTATTATTATTTTATAACTATGTTCCCTTACTGTGTTCCATTTCTTTTCTGTGTTGAGAGCAATATGAGGGTAGAAGTAATAAATTTGAGCTGTTACGACACAGTCTAGCATGCACATAGTGAAACTTGCATATATAGCAAATAGATTTTCAGGTTTCAAATTTTCTCTTATACATGTTTATTCTTTGTATTTTATGCATTTATACATAATGAATTTGTACATAAAGAAAAGATATCCACCTCTGGACATTCTTACATCACAATCTCTCTCTTGTGCAGGGGTGATGTCTTCTTTACACCCTGCAGTTTGAGGGGTCTGCCTTTGAAATTATTTCATCTTTAATTTTTTTTTTTTTTAAAGATGGCAAAAAACCCCCAAACAAACCAACTGCACATATCGAACAAGCACATAGCAAAACACGCACATAGCGAACAGATTTTTGGGACTAGAATTTTTTGTTACACATGTATATTCTTTGTATTTAAAACATGTACGTGGCAAATTTGATCCATAATGAAAAAATTTCAGCGTCCTGCTGATTTTGCTATGTGCATGCTTGACTGTACAATGGTTGTGTTTTCTGCAGGCCCTGGCAGAACTGTCCCAGCACCAGCGAGCCTCTGCCAGTCTCCAGCTACAGCGGGCCATGTTGCTGGCCAATGAACAGCTAGCTCAGAGCACGGAGGACCTCAGTGCGGGCAGGGCTCTCAACTGGAACCGCTTCACACACAGTCAGGGTTCCCTGGATAAAGTGAGTGATAGGAGGCAGGTTGGTGGGGAGGAGGAGGAGGGAGAGGGAGGGGGGGTAGTGGGAGGGGGAAGAAAAGGAGGAGGAGAAGGAAGGGGGATGGGAGGGGAGGGAGGAAGGGGGGGGGGGAGTACGAAGGAAAAAATTTATATTTCGAGTGCGGTGCATTGTCATGATCAGCATCATGCAGGTATGGTTGTGTCAAGTCCAGGGTAGCAGACACTTCTGCCACAACAGTGGATGTGCTGTGTTGACCTACATTTTCTGTCCTTTGATGATGCAGGGAGTCCCAAAAAATGACTGATGTTAAACTTTTCATTGCACTGTCTTGTGCCTCCATAGATGTTTGATGTAAGCTTTCGCTGCCTTATACTCTTTCATCTTTTGACTGGTTTTGACTTTGTACTTCCATTATTTGCGACTTGCTATTGTCTGTTCCCAGTTTTTAAAGTTGATTTGTGTAGAGGTCACATTCCTCTTGCAGGTTTCGTTGTACCGCAATAGAGGCCGACCTTATATTTTTATATTCATTCTCTATAAAAAGTAAAATAAACGACTAAGTGCAAAATGCTTTCTATCCACTCATTTTACGCTAACTTTCAGCAGACTACTGATCTGGTCTATGCTTTTTGTTTTCTTAAAAACCCTTTGAGCCCTGACCTCCTGAGGCTACCGTGCCCCTCTGCCTGAGCTCCTGAGAAATTTGCGCCTTTATTCATATCATGATCAGAATCACATTCCATATCCCCACTCAGGGTAGTCCTATTCGTTACCAGCACCTACTTCAGAAGGATGTTAAAAATAATTAATAATGTCCTGTGTAGTAAACACTGTTTCCATCCCAGGTGGGCCGGTTTGGGGATAGTGTCTCACTCACTGGTGTTTTGGTGGTTAGGCATACAGGCAGTTTTTATGCACCACCGGTAGAGCTGAAAGGATTGAAGTTCATATTGTTATGCAAAGTAAAAAGGTGGGGGAGGGAAGGGGGGGGGGGTTTACAGGTCAACTTGAGCTAATGATACTTTGTATTTGGTTTCCTATAACATGTTCAATTTGCTTTTTACAGACTTTCTTGGAAAGCGTTCCCGAAAAGGAAAAGAAAAGTGTTGGCCCCTCCCAGCGGATTATCCGGCGTCGAAGTCCAGGCCGCACAAAGAGAACTGTGGAGGAAGAAGAAGAGTTGTTGAGTTATGACGCTCCTCCCAAAGTCCACACTCGGATTTCGCCTCTTGCACGAGATACTACACCTGTGGACCACTCTGTGAACGGAACAGGAAGAATTTCAGAAGGATCTGGGTCAGGAGCAGAGAATTCTCCACAGCAAGAGCGAGCAGTCTTTCAGAGTCGAGGGGCTGGGGAGAGCCATGGTCAAAAGCAGTCCCCTCCTCAGATGCGTCGGAAGTCAGATCGTGGTCGACGGGAAATCGTGGAGACAGATATTGATTTTCCATCAGATCCTCCCTCTCCTGCGGTGGTCCCAACCCACAGACGCCAGCCGTCGCAGTCTGCGATTTCTGTGACAAATCATGAGACACGTCCAATGCAGGGACGGTTGGGCAAAAGACATCCGACCTCCCGAGAGCCACATTCTCCGAAGAAAGACTCGTCCGGATTGAGAGTGCTGTCAGGACCATATATTCCAAGACCTCATAAGGATGAAGAGAAAGAACAGTTTGTCTGATATTCAATACCCCTCAGTACATATTTTGTACATTTCAAATTTTATCGGTAGAATGGTAGAATGACAACCTTTTTTTTTTTCTACATACATTCCGTGAAGAAAGTTTTGTGGTGAAAGAAATGCATAATTTTTTAAAGCTTTATACTGAAGCACTTTTGTTTATTTCCCTCTCTCTGTTCTGTTTGGTATTATTTTTAAGTGAAGAGAAAAAGGAAAGCTTTGAGAGCATGAATTTGAGGTTTTTTTTGTTTTTTTGTCTTTTGTTTGGTCAATTTGTACTGTCCTTTCCATTCTTAGCATCGTAAAGACTACGGCCATGGAGTTCACTTCGAGACAAGCAAGTGGTCCAGGGTTTGTGGAGATATTGTTGAGAATCAGTACTGACTTGTTTATCCAGATCCTACCCTTGGTGTGCTGGTGCTCCTCTCTTTGAACTTTTTTTTTTTCTCTGATGTCTACTTTTGATAATGTCAAAGGTCTCTGGACTACTCCCACCTGTTCATTTAAACCCCCAAAATAGTTTTTTGAATGGTCTTCTCCTTTCACTTTGTCATCCATTTTTCTTTTCATGACTTTTTAGTAAAAGTGCGTTGACATTTTTCCATTTTCTGCAGATGTTCCCTAGGACAAATCTCCTGAAGTTTGTCTCACAGTGTTTGCTGCGATACTTGTTATGTTGATTGACCATGAAGTATTGTTTAAGCAAATGGCCACTGTTGACTTTTTGTCCCTTCAGCAGGAAGCTGTTATAATATCTGTTAGAACATAGTTGTAGTTCCTTTACCTCTTGATTATTGCTCTGAGGGCCAGTCATGAAAATAACATTGCACTGTTGATTGTAACAGAATATTAAAAATGTCATTGTTTCTGATTTTTAGATTTCTAACAGTGACTTATACAAATGTATAGCTATTGCCTGCTTATAGTGGGCTTTAAACAAGTTCTGTTAAGGTGTTTTGTGAGGGCTGTTTGTCGTGATGAGACCAGTCTGTCAAGTTATCGTATTATGGGCTTTTTAATTTACAGTCAAACAACCAGTTTTTGTCATTCCTTAGTGAAACATTTGAGAAGGGTGAAGCCAACTCTATGTGTAATGATTTTTTAAAACCTCAAATACCTTGTGTTCTAGTTACTGTGTATAGCTCTATATGGTTCATAAGGAGCTTATAAGGACTTTAAAAAAATCTTGGATAAGAAAGTTTGTAGTCTGTGTTGACATAGTGATTTTCTGTGAGATTTGGGCATTGTTTTCTTTCTGTCACCATCAGAAGAAAAGTGCCTGGAGTTTCTCATTTTTCGTACAACTGCAGTATTTTGTAGATTTGAAAATTTGGTACGCTTATAGTTTTTTAAAGAAGTGTTCTTCTCTGTAGTTTGCTTGTACATAGATTCTTTCCTCTGTGTCCACTGGACTTTCTGACAGTACTAGTCGTGTATTAGCCTACTAGTGATTTCAAGAGTTCAGCCCAGCCAGTATACTCACATGAATGCTACAACATATTGTGTATTTTCTTTTGCACGTCATTTACTTTTTCTTCTCTATTACCTGTAAACCATCAGTATTTCTCATGAAACCAAAAATGAATCATGGATTTGCTTTTTCCGTTTCTGTGTCCAGGCATCCTTTCCGTAGTTCTGACTTTTAAAATTAATTTTGATATTTAATGGGAGAGGACTTTTTTACGCATTTATTGCCTTATGCTATGGAAGCCTGTTGAATATATAATGTGCTGTTACTTTGATGTGCTCTGTAATTGTAGCCACAAATTTATGGTGTTAGTAAAGGTTTTTAGGGCATACATACCTCTTAGTTCAGATTATGGAACTAAAGTTTTAGATTTTGTGTTAACAGTCTTGAAATCTCCAATCGGAAGAGGCAACTGAAAGTAAGTTAATTCATATGTTGAAGTACCATTTATTGCTGTACAATTTGTTAAAGTGTATGGTACAGGGACACAAAAAATACCTGTAAAGTGGAAAAGAATGAGAGTATTCATGATTTAAAATGATGTTTTTTCATAGGTTTTCATAGACTATATTTTCTTTTTCTGTCAATTTTTATGGAAGGGTGTTTCAGATTTAAGGGCCAACATGTGCAAAAAGATCTTTTACCAATTGGCTTGGATTTCAACTTGTGTATTATTAATTTATTTTTGTCAGTTGATGACCACAACTGTCTTGATGAAATGTACAGAGTCAGCAGTTCTCTTAAATATAGTGGTGCATTACCGTCTAATCATTTATGACAAAGAGTGGACAATTTATGAGTGATTCTCTTTTTAACTGGCAGTCAGCAGGGATGTTCCAAAGGAAAGGCTTAGCAAACTATAGAAAATGCTTTTTCAGGAAGTGCAGTTTGCTAGGTTTTAAACCTGAGAAAAGCTTCTCTTGAATATGGTTCCTCCAGCTTGTCATGGCTGGCAAAGGTATACCTTTGATTTTGCTTCTTATATTATGGAGGTTTTTCTGATTGTGTTCATGGCTGTACATGTTTGCAGGATCTACGTGTATTTTGTTTTATCTATAGAATATGTATTCTTTTAGAGATTGTATGGTACATAATGATATTTGTATATTAAATGTTACGAAGATTATACTGACGTCATTCTTAGTGAAATCATATTTACACTTTTAGCAAACTCTGTGCAGTTTTTAAAGAAGTGTTTATCTGTTTTGACCTACACCTTTCAGCCTCGTTAATAATAAATATTATGCTGAAGGATATGCCAGTAGAACAATACAACAGAACAGTAATGATTTCATTTTCTTATGAGTTCTTCTTTTGTGAATTTCCTATTGACTTGAATTCAGTTGAAATCAGCATCTTAGTAAGCGATGCCATTTTAAATAAACATACAAAAATGAGACTCTTGAAGACATTTTTTGTAAAGATTATAATATACTGGTTGTGAAACTAGGTAAATTTTAAACCCTGTTAGAGTGAGTTTTTATCTTTTAAATTTAGAAGACATTTTTAATATAAAGATGTTTAAGTGGTTTTCAAAACTTTCGTGCCATTCATTTATACAAAATTACTGACAGAAAGTTGTTTTGAAGTGTATTTTACTCTAAGAAGAAATGTTGTTTTGGAAAACTTGCATGTTTAGCCGATATACACTTTATACGCAATGAAGTCTGTGCCATTCTTGTCTAGATTTGTTCACTGTGGCATAAGAAGGTACTTAAGGACATTTTTGAGACGGCCGGTATGTAGTATGTGCATGCGTTTATTTTGTCTGTGTTGTGTGTGTGTGTGCGTGCGTTCGTCTGATATAATATTCTTTTTTTGTGAGTCTGTTTAGGAATATGTGAATATATTTGTACACTTGTCTATTTTGAGCGAAAATTTGAATTTTTTATCTAGTCAATCAAGAAAATGCTCAACTCATCTTTTGGCTACTGTTATTCAAGAAATCAAAATTTCACTCATTTTTGTGCCTATATGGGCTTCAATCATTTTATATATAGCTCACTATTTGTGAACATTCATGGAATTGTGTTTTTTTGTTTTAAGCGGAATACTATTTATACATGTTTCGCATCTCCCAATTCTTACAGACGCAGCGTCAGAGTGTGTCGATCTGCTCTTGAATCTGATGTTAAACCTTTGTAAAGAAAGAGTTCCATTTACATTCAGACCCCTTTATGCTGCGAAGTTGTGGCTTTTTTGTGAGGTTGACATTTTAGAGGGTGTTTTTAAATTCTTTGGAGCTGTCTTGTTTAATTGTTTTATGGTTCAGTGTACACCAACATTTGATCAATGAGCACCTTTTGGGCCTTTTTGAGTACAGTCATTCATCTACACACTGTGGTGTATACAGCAGGTCTAGCTGAGATGTAAATTTCTGACACATTGATGTGTACACCTTGTTCTTTTATCTAGATTGTATGTGATGGACTTCTTCCTGCCAATGTATAAGCAACACCAGCTTGACCTCATCTAGTTGGCGAAGTGAAAGGGTGTTTTATACTTTTTATAAATAGACACAAGTGAAATGCACTCGAGCAGCATCATTCCTATGTGTCTCTACTCTAAGCTTTGTGCCTCGTCGTGGTGCGATGTGACACGCCGAAGTAAAAAATCATTCTGTGATGTCTTTAGACATCCGAATCCAAATCCTCCAGAGAAGAGTAAAGTATCAGTGAGATGTTGGAGGTGAAATCACTTCTCACTCGAAATTAAATTCGAGCCAGCTTGTTAACAATCTGTGTCAGTTTCCATCGAGTGTCAATAATTGTTCAGCTAATATTTCCACCCTTTGTTGCTGCTAGTACATTGTGCAGTGAGGTAATATTTCCGCTCACTGCTGCTGCTAGTACAGTGAGCTAATTTTTACTTCGCACAAATATGATCATTAGGTTTTCAACGCCAAGGTATAGGTAGTAACATAAATGGGATGGCCATGAAATCAGATGTTTCCCTACCCTCTTTTATGTTTCTGCTCTGATGAAAGATTAAAAATTAACATTATGTGTGGTTGGCTTTCTTATTGAGGCTTGTTGTTGTGTATGAATTTGACCGTTTTCCTTAGCTGCTTGTTTATGCTTATACATCTTTGTCTAGTAAAACTAAAACAGTAGTCATGATACTGAAAGTTGTTTTGTTAGTGGTGTAACAAAAGACAAAAAGATGTACTGCCTGCCTTTTCCACTTGCCTGAACAAGTCACTAGTCTTGAATGCGTAAAAGAAATGCTAATAAAACTTTTAAATGGTCTGGGCTCTTCTTACTTAATTTGCAATTGTGGCAGCTTTCTTTTTGCCTTCATCCTAGTTGAGACACTTGTACTCTCCCTAACAATATGATATCATTAGATGTGTTTTCCCTGTTATAAAGTAGACAACATGTTTTCTTAATATTGAAATGCATGAAATGATTTTGATTGCAGCATGTTGTGATGTTGTTTTAAAAAAATTGTTTTATATTTCAGGTATACAGTAGTCTCCTCCTAAAATCCCACCGCTTACGATCCCGGTTCGCTTAAGATCCCGCTGTTTTAAGAAAACAGAATTTTTTACAAAATAAAAGTCACCACTAAGATCCCACTCTGATTCACTCTGAAGGTCTACATTCGGCTAAGATCCCAGATTTCAGATCAATTTATGGAACAAAAATCCAAGCGGGCACGGCCGATCAACCTATAGCGAAAAGTTGAGATCATTGAACAGCCCATCGCGTCAAAGATCAGCTACGCGT